GAGTCGAACGTCCCATCGTCGTTGTCCGCGCCGGCAGAACATAGCCGGGACCAGGCAACTGTATGGATGGAGGGCGGCTGGCGCGCAAAGGTTGCCTAAAATGCCTTATTTGTTGGTCACGTTCCGCGCAGAGACTCCGATTCCGCTGTGGATGCGAGAGACCCTTGGTTCACCAGCAAGGCGGGGCGCAACGGAACCCTTTTTCAACATTCAAGGCTACCCGAGTCGATGCCAACAGGGGCCTGTCAACCGTCCGGGGGTTTCGGTAAAAAATGACACGGGATCGTCAATCAAGCTCGCTGCATGCATTTCAGCTGGCCGACGCCTGATTGGGTGGTTTTGGCGAGTTGACCGGGAGCTGGACTGAGGTCTGCCTTCAGCTGCAAGCCACATTCTCCGGTTCGGGTTAAAGGCCTTGATAGTCTTGTCTTGGGCACCGCTAGACTCCACTACACCGCTATCACGCCAGGCTAAACACCAAAGATGAGTTGTCGTGACATAGGGCGCAGAGCCTTGTTTGTTGGTTACAGTCCGTATCCGTAGGATGTCAAAACTCAAGTGAGTCCCCGGGTCAAGAGTCGAAAAGTTATGAAGCTGCGAAGGAACCACGAATCGAATTGAGTGATCTCCATGTAAGTGGACAGAAGAGGTGCAAGAGTACCTGAGATCTACCCCCTTGAGTCAATTCGACTAGATATGTAGTCAGGTCTCAGAAAAGAAAAACGGCTTTGGAATGATCATCTGGTTGTCTGCCTTGCCAGGCTGGTCGAACAACGCTACCAACGCGTATCGGTTCATACCCGCACCTCACGAGGCGGAGTTTCCACATGGTCCAATCCCAACCAGCCTCTATACCCCGGGCCAAGATACGAACGGTCAAGTGCAGGAGACTTGGAGCTGGACCCTTGGTGTGTCCCTCCTTTGAGCCTCATTGGCGTTGTTGGACGCCATGGTCTATTGGCTCACCCGCAGGGCGCGTTCTATTCGGCAACTTTTCATCTCAGCCCGAGCTGGGATTGCCCGGCTGGCTGTTTCTGTCTCCCTTTCCTCCCGCATCTTCTTCTGGAGCTCTCGTCTCTTCTTATCCCTCCCTTCCCCCCCCCTTTTTCTCGCACTTCTCCTCAACTTCGTGTTATTCTGTGATCACATAGGAAACAGCTCGTCACAGATACAACATGGGGAGATTCATTCAACTCGGAGCTCTTGCTTGCTTGTACCTTGGCGTGGAGTCCAAGGCGCTGAGATGGCAGGACGATACCCCAAGCTGGTCTCCACCCAGGCAGACCATTGCTGCGATGAACATGGAGGAGCTCGGCTTCAGTCCAAAGCCCACTGCGGCGCCTGAGCCCGGCAATGTCGAACTGAAGCTGGCCAAGCGTGTAAGAGGCGACGATACCTGTGGTTACATCTCTGGAGAGGCTAGTAAGTAAACATTTTGATAATAGACAAACACTGATAGTCTGTGAATGATGCTGACCTCGCTCTAGCCAACTCCATCTACTGCGGAGTTGGATCCTGTGTCATCAACAGCTTCTACTCGGTTGTTGGTTGCTGTAGCTCCTCCTCAGTCACGGACTGCACCACGATCGCTACGAGCTGTCTCCCATCAAGGTCGGCAAGTCGCATCAGCAGTGGTGACACTCGTATGCAACTCTGGTATGTTACTCTGTCGCTCTCCTTTTCTTGCGTCAGCCGTTTCTCATATAGGATCTTGTAGCACTTCCTCAGATAGACCCGAGTGTGCCACTTACATCTACTCGGGCTCGTTGTTCAACCGTTATACCCTTTATGCATGCGCCGCCACTGAGGAGGTGATTGTCGTGTACGCAAACCCTACAGATTCTTCCGTCACTCAGGAGTCGACGTCAGCGCCGGAAACAACCTCAGTCCGCAACACCGCGTCAACCACTGCTTCGTCGGCAGCTACTACTAGCACGTCTGGCGGTAGTGGCGGCGGCGGCGGCGGTTCTTCCACCCCCATTGGCGCTATCGTGGGCGGCGTCGTAGGAGGCGTAGCAGCCATCGCCCTCATCGTCTTCGGCATCATCTTCCTCCTCCGTAAGAAGAAGAAGGACAACAACAACAATGTCAACAGCAACAACCAGGCCGCTCACCAGTCTTACGTTGGACCCCCGCCGCCTAACCAGGGACAGCCTCAGATGTACCAGCAGCCCGCCCCGCCGACGCAGCAGCCGTCGCCGCAAGGGTACCCTCCCCAGCAACAGCAAGGCCACTACCCGCAAGGCTTCACCCCCGTGGACAACAATAACAGACAGAGCATGCTGAAGCAGCAGTACGATGTCACCACGGGATCCTATGACCAGAGCAACAACGGCGTTAGCCCGCCCGCCAGCCCGCCACCCATGAGCCCGTCGCCCACGTACCAGTCTGGTGTGCCGCAGTATGTGCCGTCTCAGAACAGCGTCAGCCCGACGCAGGGGACGTATCCTCCTCAGCAGCAGTCGCAGCAGCAGCAGCAAGGGGGCTACTACAGCGCACCTCCTCCCGCTCAGGGACAGCCGCCGGCGCCGGTTCAACAGCAGCAGCAGCATCACCAGCAGCCGGGCTTCGCGTCTGAGCTGCCTGCTCACAGGGGCGACAACGAGCTACGCGAGTTGGCTTGAGCGGCTGCCGACATGAACACGGGCGGTCAAAGGTGGAAAAGCGCGGTTGATGGTTTAGGTGTTTATGACGGATTTAATTCAAGTATGATTGCGGGGTGCTTGGAGGTATGCGAAGCTCTCACACGCTGTTGTGAATACGGAGTTAGCAATGGTGTGGGACAGGTTTATGAAGGGGCAACTATCGTTATGTGTATATGTAATACCCAAAGTCCTTTATATGGCCTCAACGGGCTTTTGAACCCTCTTTAAAGCAATTGAGATATAACCAAGAGATTGCCAAGAGGTTTCGTGAAACATGTCACTACTAGTGCATTCTTTCGTACACTCATTATCAAATTACAGTTTGCTGTGTACGTCGCGGCGCCAGGGTGTGTTGGGATTGTCCTGACGTCCCGGGACGAGGTGGTCCACGGCCAACGTATTAAGGAAACCCGGATGAACCTGATTTAGATTCGTGACGCCGCACATTTTCATCGTCGTCTCCAATTCGTCGCGCAGAACTAGGAAAAAGTCAGCATTCTCGTCATCTCTCACCTGGCATGCATCGCCCAGGAAGTTCACGTATATATGAGACCAGAACAAGACTCACTCTCAATGTACCGTTCCACGCCCTCGGCACCATAATTAAGCCCATACAACAATCCCCTACCAACACCCACAGCCTTGGCACCAAGACACAACGCCTTGAAAATATCTGTCCCGCGCGAGATGCCGCCGTCCACATACACCTCGACTCGGTCAAAGACATGAGGGTAGTTCTTCTGCAGCTCCAAAAGCACCATGATAGTCGCGGGGGACGTGTCGAGGCTTCGCCCACCGTGGTTGGAGAGAACAATAGCCTCTACGCCGGCCTCGACGGCCCGCTCGGCATCCATCCACGTCTGCACGCCCTTGAGGACGATGGGCAAGCCAGGAACGGTGCGGCGCAGCCAGGCGATGTCGGACCAATTTACCGAGGCGTCGATGTAGCTTCCCATGATGCGGCCCAGGGCGCCGCCTTTGGCGTCGTTGACGGCGCGGGCGCCGGAGATGGGGGAGCCCAGGGACTCGTCGGACGCCACGCGCTCGTCGGCCTCGCGTTTCCCCGGGATCGGGGCGTCGATTGTGAGAAAAAGGGCCTTCACGCCCTGCGCCTGGGCGGAGCGGAGTAAGCGTTCCGAGTTGGCGCGGTTCTTGTCGACGTAGAGCTGAAAGAAGACGGGCACGTCGTACGGGGTTGTGGGTACGTGCTCGCGCTGGGCGGCGAGGATGTCCTCGAGCGGGAAGGAGGCGGAGACGGAGACGCACTGCGGTACGCCGGCGGACTTGCAGGCGCGGCCGAGTTCCTTTTCGCCGTCTGGGTGGACGAGGCGGGCCATTGCGGTGGGGGGGCAGAAGATGGGGGACCGCATCGGGTGGGAGAGCATTGTTGTCGCGGTGGAGACGGCGGCGACGTCGACGAGGACGCGGGGGCGGAGGGTGATGCGGGAGTAGAGGGATGCGTTGCGGGTTTTTGTGTGGAGGTCTGTTGCGGCGGAGGAGACGAAGGCCCAGGCTTTGGGGGAGAGGGAGGTGGAGGCTGCGGATTCGAAGTCGTGGGCGCTTATGAGGGTGGTGAGGGGAGGTTTTGAGGGTGTGGTTGGTGGTGATGGTGTTTGGCTGTTTTGCTTGTGGGATGGATCTTGCTGCTGCGGCCACTTGTGAGGTTGAGGCTTGGCCATGATGGCTCCTGGTGGTAATACGCCCTTGTGGTGCGAGGTGGGAATGGTCGACTTGACCAGGTTGGGGCCGTGGACTTCAGAGTAGACCTCAGTTGCGTCTTTGCCTGCGCACTTGAGGATCACGGCGATGCCGCCTGGATGCTCGCGGACAAAATCTGTGAAATCGTACACGGCGCCGTCGATGGCGAGCCAGAGGTCGTCGAGGCGGTTGTGTTTTGATACCTCGGCGGGCGTCAGTGTAAGAGGGGGCATAGTCTTATCTGGAGGTCACACGCGAGATGGGTAGAAGCAAGGCGTGAGACGGAGGGAGGACGTTGGGAGGTGTGGTCTTGAATCACCGTCTTTGTATGTCGTCGCGGGCCGGGCGCCAAGGCGTAGTCTGATATGTCCCGGCACCGAAGAGGGTAGTCGATTTCGGGCGGTATTGCGCCGAGAGGGTCACTCGGGGGCGGTGGGGCTGCAGCGTGCCGTCCTCCCCGGGTTTCCCTTTTGATGCAACTCTGGCAATTGCCCATGGATGATGGCCGCCCCCCCATGCAGGCGGGCGGGGGTGGATTGGCCCCCCCAGGGAGCTGGAGGATTTTCTCGCTCGCTAAAAAAGCACGGATACAGAGGTCGTCATCACTGTAAATCACCGATATCGCATTGGGTCGTGGGGTCATGGTCTCATGGTGGGAGAGAATTATTTTTTTATTTCTTTTTCATGTAGAATTTACCTCTCCAAAACCTCTCATACGAATCTCGCGCGACATCACCCCGCCAATGCCTTCCCAATGAGACTCAAAGCCCTCTCGCTGTGGTTCATTTTCAACGCCAGCGCGTGTCCCTCCTCGCTCATCTTGGCCCACGTCTTGCGCAAGATGCCAATAATCTTGTCTTCGTCAACCTCCTCCTTGCTCTCAAAGTCGTCAAAGTGATCGTCAAGGAAGACGAGACACGCCACGTCCTCGAGGACCTGCGTCTCGTCGTCCTTGCTGAGGTTCTCCTTGCGGATGAGCGCCGCCACGCGGTCGACGTCCTCCTGGGGAATCGCGGGCTGAATGGCGGACGACGAGGTGAGAAGCTCAGCAACCTGGGCGGCGGCTTGGGACTTGAGCTTCGCGCGCCAGGTGAGGTAGCCCGGACGGGTCATTGGGTATGTGTTGCGGGGAATCTCCCATCTACGGGTTGCAAATCAGGTGAGTCAGAAAGTGAGGCCGGTGAATGACTAGGGAGGGGGGTTATCCTTATTCATCGCCATGATATGCTTGACATGCACATCACATTGCATGGAATTGCTTATGTTAAAAAAGGAAAAAGGTAAAAAGTATAAAAAGGGAAAAAAAATTGCTTAATTGCGAATGTTACCTCCTGAAATGCTGGGCTCGGCAGGCCAGTTGTAGGACCGGAGGCGCCGCCGGACACCTCACGGCGAGCCAGCGGGTCATCTTCTGGGCATAGTGAAGCTCAAAAGGCACCGACTCGACGGACGATGGTCTGGGGTCTTGCTTGTGGGCCTCGTCGATCAGCTCAAGAGCCTTGAGGTAATTGGGTGGCAGATCGGGCAGTGAAGACGACGCTGCCATTTTGGCGTGTGCGATATGGGATGTGGGATATGAGATATGGTGGGTGTTGGGATGAGTGAGTTTGTACGGCCGTCGCTGGTGAGAGAAGAGTTGGTTGCTGTTTCAGGCCTTGCGAGAACTTCTTGGCCAGTGAGAGAGAGAAGGCCGCTAGTCGCCCATTTCAGTCAGAGACCGAAATGCAACCACCGACGGCGGGTTCAGGACGATGAGTAAGCCCGGGGGCATGATTGGCCGTCACTCATGTATGGTACGGAGGTGCGTCTCAATAGTCCTTGCAGTCGCTGCCAAGCCCCAGACCCACAATTACTGCCTATCTGAACCAATAAGAGCCTAGGGATTGATCTTGACCCACTTTACTTACTTTCCCCTTAGTACTGCCTATAGTAACGATTTTACCCTATATACCGCTATTACGATATTACTATTAATCCTACGATAATATTAAAACCGCTAAATTGTTACTTACTACGTTGCTCTTTTTTCTTTAATATGGATCTTAAGATACCGATAAAAAAGAAGTTAGATCTAGGTATTAGGGTAGTAATTCTTATTTTATAAAATTAACTTATTAGGTGGACTGCTAAATAGGTCTTTTAGGTTTTAGAAATTCTAGTTTAAACTATTTATAACGTTCTTACCTGTATAAAAAAGAACGGATTCGACCTAATTATTCCTATCTTCTTAATTAAGCCTGCCTATTATAAAGATGCCCCCCGAAGTAGCTATCTAATTAAATAGATAAAAAAGGTTAACAATACCGTTATCCGCAAGGTTTACTATAATTAGTATAGGCGTAAAAAGAATTATATTAATATTATTAGGGACTTATTAAAGGATAAGGGCGTTAATATATTTATAATAACTATTTAGCAAATCCTTCGTCGTTATAGCTTTTTTAAGACTAAATTAACCCGTAAGCTAAGCTTAATAAAAAGGATATAGTAAAAGTAACTTAAATAGTGCCTCGATTATTAATATTAGACCCTTAATAATTAAAAGCAGGTTATATAGTTAGACGAGACTACGGTTACTGTCGGATTGGAAGTCCAATTCGACCTCGAGGCAAGGGGCCCGCTGTTACGGCCAGCTAGTCGTAGTGAGTATGTTTGCAGAAGTTAAGGCTGCGATACTAATAAACAGCGTGTCGTAGTCGTGGATAGCTTCCCTGAAGCTATGTCTGTAAGTCGTGAGGTAGGTAAGGCTTCGGTGATCAATCGTAGTCTTGTCAGAAGGGTTCTCAGTGAAGATAGCTGAAAGTGATCGCAAGATCTGATACTAAGTTGATTGCTGAAGAAGCTATGGAAAGTCTGTCCTTGAGCCCGGCTCAAGTCCATCCTATATACAAGTCCCGTATACTATCTGAACAGTTCCTTTGTGGTTGGGACCGATATCACGATGTCGGTCCTACAGGGGTGGACCGCCTTTGTCTCGTCGGTCCTGTCCATGGACCGCTTATCGTCCGTCGGTCCTTCTTATCATCACGTGACTTGTCCATAGTTCTTCCGACCCGAGAGGAGTCACCCTGAATCCGTTCCTCCGCATATATGGTGTGGTAGCCGCCGCAGGCCTTGTGGGGCGAGACCCTGGCCTCGTCATATGTGTTGGGTCGTAACACCCGCGCAGGGGCCACTTACAGACCATACTTACGAGATCTACGGTCTATCCAACCTCCGGTTAGAACCTCCTTTTTACACCTTACGCAGAAGTTATATATATATAGATTTTGACCTCTTCGTCACCCACGGTTCGAACCATCCCTGTGATAGGAATACCAACAGTTACCCTTAACCATTACTATAATAGCTATAAGCTCTAATATTACCTAGACGAGGCTTACTTTAAATAGTATATATAAGAGAGGTAAAAGGGTTATTTTAAATTTATATTTTAAGGGTCTTTTTTATATAATTTAAAAGGGCCGTACTATTATTAGATTCCCGAGACTACTATTAAAAAGAAGGCTACCGATATAATAATTACCGAGCTTAATATAGAGTTCGAGCCCGTTCGACGTTAATAGTAAGAGCTCGAGAGTAGTATAGAGTAAATAAGCTTATAGAACTAACCGGGCTATAAGCCCTAATTTAATTAAAATACGAAGTTAGGTAAATTAATATAGAATGGTAAAGGCGGAATTAACTAGTATAGATACCGTAAAGAGATCTTATTACTTAAATTATTCCCTTATATTAAAGGATTATTTAATAATCTAATTGTATAAAAGGATAAGGTACCCGCTTACGACCATTATTTTATTTATTATATATATAGCCTTTTCGAGATTATAAAGCTTTTCTAGCTAGGTAATTTGCCCGACTTTAATCCTATTAAACCTTATTAATTATAAATAAAGAGATAGATTACTAAGAAAGGGGCGCCTTTATTACGGGCCGAAATAGTACGTTACTAGTAAGAGTACTAGAAAGTATTACTGTAAGAGGAGATTTAAAAATAGATAAAAAGGGTACCTCACCATATTTAATAAATAATTACTTTAGAGGGCGGTAATAAATATAAAGAGGGTCGTCGGGCTAGATTATACTATTAAACGACCATTAATTAACCTTAATTGACGACTTTTTACTACTAAATTAACGATAATTATAGTAGGTGGAAGTGGCCGAATTCTGCCGCTTGTATACACCCTAGCCAGCCCCTTGTCGACTCCCCTGTCTATGGTAGGGGTTGGTCTTGGCAGCAACTGCAAGGACTATTGAGACGCACCTCCGTATACACATCTACTTCGTAAAGTACGGAGTATGGTACCTTATTAGGTGCCGGACCTGCATCAGAGGCTCAGCGCCTTGGACCAATCCCCGGACCTTGTCGTTAACATCACATTGGTATTTTCCACATATCCCACTCCTCCGAATCCTCCCCCCACGCGACCGACCATAGCTCTACCAAACTTACCAAACTTCCCACTCAATATCACACTCAGCACGTCGCACAATTAACGCCTATTTTCAGCATGTAGATCGACAGGACCCATAACATGTCAACCCGTTGACGCCATGCACTCGGCAGATCGCCCTGCCGCCCGGTCTCGCCTGTTCTAGACCGGAGGATACTTTAAGATCCAGCGAAGGGGGGGGGGGGGGATGGAACTTGGAGAACCTTAGGGACCCCGAACCGCGGCGTTTCGTCCCTTCGTCCCACCATGACTGATGTGGTGTCTGATCATTGATGCTGCATACGCACACTTCCCGTATGGTTCATGCTCGTTGATTGGCCCGCCCCATTTAACCGCTCAAGCTGAAGTTTGACACTTTGGCAGTCTGATGAAGCCGTATTAATAGCTTTCAAGGAGGTCCTCTGCCACCTACCTCATCTTGGTTGTCAAAGCCAGCTTCACGTTTTTAGTTATTTTCGTGCTCGTGCTCGTGCTCACTATAGCCACAAGCAGATTTTTCCTCTTCTTTTCTGGGTTTTACCTACCTTACAGAATTGATTCGATTGCCCATTGAAATTTTGGGAGGGTATGCCTGTCTGGTTGGGAAAGAATGACGGAACGTTGTTTCTTCCTGCTTGGGTGAAATCGTAGCTTCCTGATTTCTACCCCTGTGACTACTGGCTCCTGCCTCCTTTGCCAACTTCACCTACCTCAGCCATCGGCAAGGTCAACCGTTCACTTGACCCTCTATTCTTTCTTCCAACTACACACCAAACTTCACACAAAGAACGACTTTGTGACCATCGCCAATTGTGACTTCTCAGCTGGCACTTTCATTGATAAATCTATCAAGAGAACACTGCAATCTCACCATCGTTTTCCAACATCAATCACAAAGTAGGGGCTTACCTACAACTAACTCATCAACATCACAACCAAGTCCATAGACAGCGCCCGACCAACCTCAGAAGCAAGAACTCGAAGTGCAGCATCAATCAACGCGTCTTCTGAATACAATCGGCAGCTGTCAATCGGCGGACTGAATATCGCAGATTGGACGATTGCAGGAATTCCTGGAACGGAAGCAACGACTGCCAATTTCACACCTTTTTGGTATTCAGGGTAGTTACAGGCAGACCAAACTTGAAAAGTGAGCTACAGTTCCAGCCAAACTTCCCTTCTCAAATTTACACTTCGCTTTACTAATACACATCCCAGTTTTACCTCTTTAACTCTTCACGAATCAACACACTTATGCCTACACAATGACCAAGACTAAGAATAAGGCCGCCATGGCGGTTGACGATGCCACATCCTCCATTACAGCGGTGACTGACGATGACGCCATGACCCTTGTCGACTTGTTTGGAGATCTTGATGTTGAGGAACTCACCGAGCCTGACAACAGAACCACATCTGGAGAGTCAACCAGCATTGCGAGTTCGGAAGTCAGTACAGACGTTGCTGATAGTGAGGTCGACCTTGAGACGAAGCCAAGCGAGAAGGGCAAGACCGCAGATACCGAAAGTAAGGTGGCCACAGAAGCAGAAACATCTTCTGGAGTCACATCAGAAGCTGCCAGTTCAGAGGTAGCTGAAACGTTAGCTTCTGGCGAGACAGCCTCAGAAGATAAGACCACAACCGACGATACATCTTCAAAGAGCGGAGATGCCTCTGCTGGCGCTCAATCATCAAGCGCAGGCGAGTGGACGGACTCAGAGGATGCCCTCATCATCAGTATGAAGGAGGGTGGTGAGAGCTGGGCTTCCATAGGCAACGCAATCAACAGAGGCAAGAACGAGGTCAAAAAGCGATGGCACGTATTGAAGATCAACGTTGCCAATTCGACCGAATCCGGAGGAGAGTCCATCCAAGCTGGATCTCAGGCCGATACTGAGGCTGATGACAAAACCGCTGTGAGCCAAGACGAGGCAAAGAAGGCAGATGACGACAAGGCCGAAAAGCAGAAGCAGAAGAACAACGAGACCCTCAAGGCCGATGGCAAGCCGAAAAAGTCACAGAAACCTTTCAAGGAAGTCAAGATCACTGAGGGCAAGAAGCTAGAGGCGAAGAAATCCGAGCCCAAGCCCAAGGAGCCCAGACAAAGAAGCAACCCTTCCAAGCCCACCCCGTCAGAAACCTCGTCGTCAAAGCCTGCTACCTCAGACTCCAACGAGGAGACCCCGAGCTCATCCTACCGAGACCGGTTCAACCTCCTCCACGACACCTCCTCGGCCTCCGTGTCAAAGTCCTCCGCTACCAGCGCAGACGACAACGACGCCGAACCCCAAGCTAAATACGAACGCGAACTCGCCGGCCAACAACGCTACATCCGCCGTCACGTCCACCCAGCACTCTACCCTCCCGCGCCGGCAGCATCCCATAAGAGAAAGAGGCCGCTTCCTGCTCCCGCCAGTAGACGAGCGCCCAGCCCGGCAGACAGACAGCAGCGCCGCGACGACGCGACCCTCGCGGCTGTGGTGTCCAAGAGGGAGGCGACAAAGTGGCTCGAGATGCAGGCCAACTTTTTTAACGCTACGGGCCGAATGGTGCCGCTTCATATGATCAAGTCGAGGTGCGAGGCCGAAGAGGACCGAGACAAGGCCGCCGGCGTGCGGAGTTGGGCTTCCTCGGTGGCCGATAGTGAGGATCTGTTGGACCCTAACGAGGGTCGGGACGCTCCTGAGGATGCTCTAGTCAATGATGACGAAGATTGATACCCCCCTCCCTTTCTTTTTTTTTTACGCTTGTTTGCGAGATGCGACCCCATGAGATGCCTGACTCGAGGGGGGTGACGACTGACGAATGATGATGACGACGGTTACGGCCTCACCCTTTTTCGTCTACAAGACTTTGATCATGAAACTGATTTGGGACATCTGGGTTTAGACGGGTGTGATGGGCTACGGGATACCAAAAAGAATTGGGGTCGGGAATCCGGGATAATGGAATAGACGGGGGAATAATTTGCGTTTTGTTTTCGTGTTTTGGGCTGTATCTGGGTAAACAGGGTAGTTCCTCACTATGAGGAGGACTAAGGATTCTTTACCATAGCCAGCCAACTTTTGCATTTTCTTTTCTTTCTGCTACTTCACAGGGATTTGGGGGTGGGAAGCGTCCAGAACGTAGCAAAGCTAAGCCGAATGAGAGAGAGAGAAACCAAATTCACAGTTGATACTCCATACTCGATACGAACTTTTTCTGCATGCTATGTTGTTCATGATTTATGGTTGGTCTGTGTTTCTCTCAAAGCATCTCAGTTACCATGGAATACAACTTGCATAGAAGAAATGCCCAAGTCTTGGAACCCCTACAGAAAGGAAAAGTACAGACTACCACCAGCAGCCACCGCAGAGGACGGGGTATCAATGGAATCAACTATTACAACAACAAAAAAACGGCCATCTTACGTAGCGCATGTAGAGAAAAAAACCCACCTTTTCAATTCACCTCCCGTTCTTGCCGTATCCAATATAAGTACAAGTAAGCAGCCCTTGAAACTGTGGAAGGGGTCTGCTGTAATATTATATGCCACCCAGTGCGCCGTTTGAGATGCTGTATGCGCTCAAAGTATCAAGATTGCCCCCCTCGACCTGCTCAACTCCGCTGCGGCGGCAATCTATCGAGCTGAATTTTTATACATCGATGAAGCTTGGGGAAGAGTTACCCGGCTTCAGGTAAGAAAGGTCGTCATACGCAACCCGGAGCGTGGCTTTCGCCATTAGTCGGAGCAGGAGTCTCGGACGAGCATCACCAAGCTACATCCCGAGGCACTTGTGACCGGAGATGGAGTAAGATCGAGTGTGCCCCACCCAAGACATAGGATAGTCATCATTGAATCAAGCTACCCCTCAAATGGGGTTCTCCATTCCAGGGGCCATAGTCGATCCTGGAGGTGCAGCCGGAGTAGGGCTTGTTCCTTTAGTCAAAGTGTTGTTGCTCGACCCAAGCCCTCGCTTCATCATCTTGCCCAGGACAGTGACCAGCTCGCAAGCGTCAGAAAACATGTCGTCATCCATGCCCTCGGTCGCCTCGTAGACCTCGGATATGGCGTCCTTGGCTAGTTTCCGGCTCCCGTCAGCGTCGTGTACACACTCGTAGAGGAACGCGGCGTATTCCGTCTTGACAGAGAGTCGTAATGAGTGGGATCCCCAGAGGTGTTGGTCAGCCAGGGCAATCGCCTCCTTGAAGTACTTGTGCGCTTCGGGGAGGTAGTCTCTCGGCGGCTCGAGGAAAGCGGCGGGTTGGTCGGAGGCGCTTCGAGGAGCGAAACCCGGCGGAGGGTTCACTGGGCCGCCCTCAAGGGCATGCGTAGGCTGTATTGAGCCTTGTGATGAGTTCCAGTCCTCCCTTGCGATTCCTTTGCCCTTGTCCAACCTTGGTGGGGTTAATCCAGCCATTGTGTCTGGAGTTGCGATGCCCATGGTGGACACTGCAGGTTTGTTATGAAACAGGACGAAGATGTGGTAGAACGATGCTCGTAGCTTGTACGCCAATACCCGGAGTTCTGTGTGGTTTCCCACCATAGGAATCACATATTGCTGGAGCATCACTAGGCCCTCCCTTGAAAGCCAGATAATGTGGAAAATGAGGTCGAGGGACTGCGGTGCGCGGGCGGCATCGGGTCTGCGCTGTTTCTTCGCTGTGACAAGTTGCTCTGCGAGGCTTAGAGAGAGCCCGAGGATTTTGTAAAGCATTGATGATAAGAGGGGATTATCGTTTTCGACGGTTTTGGCCCATTTTCCGAGGAACTTCTGGTCCACTTCGGAGGAAGCCATTGGGACTGGCTCGCACGTGTGCTGCGGGTGAGATGGCGGAGATTAGTATCGCTGCTTTCCTAGACTTGTCGAAGAAGTGGCAAGCCCAAAGTGAGGAAGCTGACTGAAAATAGCCGGGGAATTCCCAATAAATAATTAAGTGCCGTTCTTGGCGCTGAATCAAAGTCGCTGAGTAGAAGGGCGTCAATGGCCGGGAGTGAGTCGCGGGCAGTAGTGAATGCGCCAGAATTATGAGAGCTGCGGAAAGCTCGAGGGTGAGATGGTATCCGTGAAACAGAACAAGCCGATGGCGTTTTTATCTTTGGCCTGATAATGAGACTGAGTTTTGCCGGTTGTTAGCGACTACGGGCGTTGATCGCATTGAGTGTAATCTGGAAGAAATGGTTACTCACAGGTATAATACATTACAGTAAGTATTTAGTGAGGGTGTCCGACCGTTCGACCAAATGGCAACTTGCTAGGCGCAGAAATTGATTATCCAAGTGAGAGCAGGATGAGGCTCAAGTGAGAAGATGAGTGATTGAGTGGTCGTTTTCGCAAATAGCATGACGACGTCGCTCAGTGCTTGGGCGGGCTTTCGTCAAGAGGCCTTTGGAAAGCAGGCGTAGGTGAGCTATCTGATGGGCTACGAGGGCGATCCCTGGGAGAATAAACGAGTGTCAGAGGGCAATGCCGGCGTAGGAGGCGGTGAAAAGTGGGCGTGAGCGAGAGCGTAGGCGTGGCTGCGGGGGCGGGACCAAGTGCCAAAGTTCCGTCAACGTCTTGGTGGGAGCTGGCGGAACCGAATCAGACGAGATGAGACGGCTGGCAGCAGTCGCGGTCGTGGAATTGAGGTGTTACGAGATACTATGTTGGATGTCGGGCTATGAAGGCATCTCGACAGTGGTTAAGGATGAGTCGAGGAATGGCAGCGATGCAGGTAAGTTTTGAGACGGGTTCCGGCGATGTAATGTAATGTAAGGTAATGTAGGTAGCTGCAGGTTATATGTGCCCTAAAGGAGAGCTTGCAGACAAAGGCGCAGAGGACTGGGGCGTGCGGTCGTATTGTGCATGAACGAGTGTGGGCCTTTGCAAGAGCTCCTGCGCGGTCTGGCCGTAAGATAGGTAGGTGGTGTAGAGCTTGGAGAGCCGAGGCCGGGTGGGAATGGAGGCACTTTCTAGGGTACTGGTACGGATGAATGACGAAGTCACCCAACGGGTACGGTACCGTACAGGTAATGGCGGCTACGCGATAGGACGTCTGAGGATGGAGTTTTTGAGCACCAGGGGTCGGGTGCTTATGCGATGAGAGAAGTGGGAGCAGCAACAGCGGCCGTGGGCTATGTCGTACAGAGACGAAAGGCAGCGAATGAAGTCGGGTATTGTAGGTTGGATGAGGGGGGGCAAGAAGCTGCAAGATGAGTTGTCCACCCCTCGGAAGACGCGCGCACCGTGTGAGTTAAGGCTCGAGGGTGATTGATGTGGGAGCCCCGGCGGAATCGAGTGCGAAGACGGTTGTTGGATTGGGCGCAAGTGACATCAGCCTCCAATTGCTTAGGCTGGGGCTGGAAAAGCTAGGTATTCGTAGGTACGAGGAATATTCAGCCAAAGTGGTGAGAAAGAAAGAGAAAGAAGAAGAGCTTGCCTGGAGCTGGAACTGGTACCGGAACTGGAGCTACTAGAGCTTGGGCTGGAAAGTGAAAGCTGGAGCTGGACTGGACGGAGGCAGGAAACAACCTGGGAACAAGGCTTGCAAGTGTGCAAGTCAAGGTATCCGTACTCCGTAAGGTAAGGTAAGGCAAGGTAAGCCAAGCACAGGCACCGTTTCCCACGAACTTGGACGGGGACACGGGGCGGGGGGTAGAAAGATGCCCGCGCTAAGGTAACCTGGAAGGTACCTAAGTTGGGATCCCTGCGACCCGCTTCCCTTCTGAACTCAGGTGTGAGTGAGATGAGCACTTGCAATTGCGAACTTGTCCACTTGCCCCAGGCCCCCAGCATGGAAAGTCGAAAGAGCCAGACACACCACCAAGGTGGGAGCGAAGACGGGAATCCTTCCTGGTCACTTTCTTGCTGCTTGCCTTGCATCCACCGGCCCTCTCTTCCACCCATCGGCAATCTTCCTCTTCCAGCTCGCTCTCCGAACAAGCAGCGGCAATGCTGTAATCACCTCAGTCATTGCTTCATCCTGCGAATACTTGATACCGACCGCATTACGACGTGCTTCTTCCGTTATTCGACGGCCCGCCCAGTCACTCGCCATCCAAGCTTTCCACATGACCGCGCTACGGGACCAAGCGCCGTTCATCTGAACCCTAGGTCTAGGATGCTATGTGATCTGAATTGACGCCGACGACGCGATAGCGCCGCGCTTTCCGTCTGACGCGCGGGACTACGCTCCGAGACAAGCCGACTTCCCAACTAATTGTCCCAAGGGTCCGCGGGGTCTCAACTCTCGAGTATCCTTCACCACATAGCAGCTTGCTCGGCTGGCCTGGACTCCTCTATGACTACGAGTATGCGCAGACATTGTCTTCTTCGGCTCTCGAGACGGATAGGAGTCTGTCCCAATCGCTGCGACGACGGCGGCCAAACTTGACGCGACACGATCCTTACTTCCAAGCATCTTCTCACACTGTTCCCGTCAGATCATCATATCACGCCGGGCTGAGACACGGGAGATGCCATCTCGCTTGATGCGCACAAATCAGCCTGGGCCGCTGTCTTGCTTGCTTTTCCTCCCTCACTTCGCCGAACCTGTCTTTCGCGGTGCTTTGAGACTTCGCCATGCGCCCACACAGACAGGCGCAATGCGCTCTGGTGGCCCGCTGCTGGCAACTTGATATCGGTCGTATGCTCCCCACGCAAGCCTACTTCTGGCCGTGCCCAGAGTGTTTGATGCACTCTACGGATACGCAGGCAAAGGCAAAGCAAGGGGCTCGAAGGCGCACAACGTGGCCGGATGTCGACTGTCGAAAGTGAGACTCGAGTATCCTTCCCGTCGCCCTTGAACAGCAACGAATAAATAGCCCGTGCGACTGTCACCCTGGTCAGTCTGGGGGTTTCAGAATACCCAGCCCACGTCCCGAAACAAATGCTGCTCGGACATCGTGGTGTATTCACCGATCCATGTTGCACAAAGCCGTATTGTACGAGGAAGACTGGGTTAAATGGCACAAGTCGTCCGTCGTGGAACAACTTGTGAAGTTGTGCTCCTCGGTGTTTCCACCCAAATGAGGTACGTACTCCTCATTCGATCCGCCAGCGTTTGGCAGTGGCCCCGACCCGGTTCAGTCTAGTCTACTTTTGGATTAGCGCCCAACGTCTCTTGATCGCCTTCTGATCTGACCAACGGGACGCGGCGCGCTTTCTCAAAGCAGGGAAAACGTCCCTTTTGCGCGAGACTCAATTCTCGGCATCCCAGCCACCTCTTTTTTTTTTTTTTTTCACTGTACCAAAGTCCAAAGTGTAAAGATTCCCCCTACTCTCAGTCGCGATTCGCCGACCTCATGTGCGGCCTCCCAGAGGCCTCAATGGTGCCAGCGCATAAGCCAACGGCCTCGCTGCGCCTGACAACTGCGCGTATTCCAATCCCAGCGCCCCAGGGAACACCTCGCACTGTTACGCCACGCCAACACACGAGTGCCGATGAAGCAGATTATTATAGTGAAGAGAAGAATGACCCTGGATCTGACAAGCCTATGGCCCATAACCAACCTACGCTTGGCCATGATCAATGCGGCCGCCCCTCCTTCTCACCTCACCAGCTTATTCTTCACTGAATGGCGTTCGATCTTTAAGAATACAAGAAACCCAACATACCGCTTACATACTGAAGCACGGCCTAACGACGGCAGAAGTGAGCAGCAGTACCAGCAGCAACAAAAAGGCACTACCAAGACTGGCGGTGAAGAATAGGCCTCCAGGTTCTTGCGGCTACTGTGTATGTCACCGATGTCATCTTGGATTCACGCATTCTTCCATGTCTCTTGATGGGTCCACCTCCACTCCGCCTTGTCGAGAGACATGATGGGAGCTTTTCTCGGGTGGCGAGCCCTGCTTTGTGTAAGTGGGTGCAGACAAAAACCACACGTGCAGGCGTGCCTTATGACATGGCCTGCCAACTTCTGTACATGTCTCCAACGGAGCGATTGAGGTCGCAGTACAAACGCATCCTCTCTCTATGTGTTGTCGTCCACAGGTGAGAGCGGCCGTCGTACTTTCTGCCAGCCCCAATGTTGCGCACTCCGCCACCAGACTGTACGACCTCGTCATCTCACTCCGGGTCGGACTCGCTTCTCGACTGCGTTACACTGCGATCCTGAGATGATGGGACCTGCAGCCCTATATGCTACGATCACAGCCTCGATGCCGGGTGAGGTTGAAGATAGACCAGCCGTTAGGGATCCCCTTGGTCGTGTCGACTTGCCTCAAATTCAGCACGAGAGACATCATGACGTTGGTCGGGCACCACATTTTGGAACGTGGATGCATTCATCAGACAGTGCAACACACCCCTTTGCCAGTTGTCTTTTCGATCAACATGTGAAGCTGAATGCAAGAGTGGCCGGACCCAAAGCATTCTTTCCCCCGTGTGTGTCCTTCAAAATTCTCGAATAAGAGTAGAGGGTTCCGTTTGAGACTCAGCGTCGCTTCGTTCCTGGTTCCTGGCCGCGGTAGCCACCGTTTGCTTTCCCGGAGCGGGATGCTGCAGCTTTCGGGCGACCCGCGGACCCACGCCCTGCTTGTGAGAGGAGATTTGATAGATATCGGTGCTTCGGTTTGGAGTTTCGTCCTTGATTTTTTTGTCTTTGGTCGTACCTCGCCTTCGGCTCGAGTGCCGTGTAGGGTAAGGGTGGAGGAGGCTTCCTACAGCTTCTCAAACGGTGTTGTCTGGTAGGATCGAGGTGATGCCGTAGCTTGTGGTTTGGTGCCCGACGTAGGCAAACTGTGCTGACGTTGGTATGTTTAACAATGATGTGTTTGCAAGACATGGGAAACTACAAATACGTGCCCGTGTGGTCAGTATTTCTCAGGTGTGCTTTAGATATTTTGGATCTTGTTGTTGATCCAATAGTATCACATTCATTTCTTACACGCCTATCAAGATACCAACGAGCGAGCCTCACTCTCTGTCCAAGTCTGAACTTAAGACTCTCAGTCGCAACTATCTATCACCACTTGCTGAGACACATTCCCTGGAAACACAAAGCCTCATTAGTCTGAGAGAACCCGTCAACAAGCAAAGCTGTTCCTTCATACGCCAAGTTTCAATCACTCATTCTCAACATTTCGATATTCACTTTCTCGCAACATCAAGCAACCGACTCCCTCTATCACAATCACAACCTCCTCATCCAACACGAGCTCAACAGCACAAGCTCACAATGTGCCAATACTACGCCCACGCCTTCATGTGCAAGCACCTCTCCTTCACCTTTGCCCGCTTCTGCCAACCCGCGAGCCTCATCCAGAAACCCTGCGCCAAGAGGCAGGTATGGCAGACCATTGGCCTAGACGACGCTTGCGAGGAGTGTTTGGCCTGGTTCCCTGATCAGTACCCGTGCTGGAGGCCGCGGTACCAGTGAGCTGGAGAGGAGGGCTGTTGGAGAATGGTGGTAACGTTGGCCGGGGTGGAGTGGCCGTTGTCGTTGGGCTGGTTTCTCAGCGACTTGACGATCGTTTTGTAGAGGATACTTGGAGTATTGAGAGGAATTAAGCTGCTCCAAGGCCGTTTTCGTTTTTGGTTATCTGGAGTTATTGTGTCTGGCATCTATAGTGGATTATGAATGGTAAAAGTTCTATAGGAGTTTAGATTAGGTTTATCGTAGGCGATGAAAGGGGTCAAGTAAATTAGAATAAGTCTAGACGTATAGGATTGAGGGTGTGGAATCCGCTCTTTAGGAAAACGCGACTTTATAGTCTTAAAACCATAATCCGAAAATTTGAGACAAACGTAATGTATTTTATGCTCTAGTGTTTTAAAATGATTTTTATGATTTTGTGTACTAGTAGTTCTTCTAGGCTTATGCGCCACCCTGAAGTGTAAATGCGGTGGCCTTCGTAGTCTCCTATCTATGTGTAGACGTAGAATGTGTAATATGGCGACTAGCTACTTTAAGGACCATAATTACTAATACTCTGTGGATTTATTGATAAAGGATGTTAATACCGGTGCAGTTCTTGCAAGTCATAACCTCTTCTAGCTACGTTAGCCCCGGTGCGACGTTTAATAGTAATTATAGTCTTTTATTTGTTTAAGGATTGTAGCTGACTCGACGTTAGTATCTATTTATTTTCTCTATGGTCTTTGTAAATGGATGGAATTATCGAGTCTAGGTAGAACTTTTTATTTAGCTTCTTATAACGCAAACGATATGCTAATACAATATGACGTTGCCCGCAGTGTAAATATTATATATTGTAATCTAGGTGGACCTCGAGGTAGGGTATTATATGTAAATATAAGGGTGCCGGTAGTATTACGATTTCTCATAAATATTAGGGAGATTCTACTATAATTTCTTTAGCATTACGGTAAAAGACCTTACGGTGAATCCCGCAAGATTTCACTA